TGTATTTCACTGTTTATAAATCTTACCTTAAAAAAACATACATACACAGCCCTAGCTGGTTTCGCTCAGTGGCTAGAGCGCCAGCCTGTGGATCAAAGGGTCCAGGTTTGATTCCAATCAAGGGCATGTACCTTGGTTACAGGCAAGAGGCAACCACTCGATGTGTTTCTGTCTTTCCCTCTCTCTAAAAGATCAATGGAAAAATATCAAGTGAGGATTAACCAAAATAAAAACAAAAAAAAGAACCAACCATAAATAGACAAGTAAATACTGAATTCTAGTTCATAATACTCATGCTGAAGTATTTAGAAGTATTCTAATTCTGCAACTTGTTTTAAATGTTTTCTTTAGGGTTCTCCATATGCAGTATCACATCTGCAAATAATGCCAGTTTTACTTCTTCCTTTCCAGTGTGAATGCCGTTTATTTCTTCTTCTTACTTGATTGCTGTGGGGAGGACTTCAGTACTATGTTGAATCCGAGTGGTGAGAGCGGACATCCCTGTCTTGTTCCCAAGCTTATAGTTTTTGCCCATTAAGTATGACAGTGACTGTGGGTTTGTCATACATGGCCTTCATTATATTGAGGTATATTCTCTCTATTTCCACTTTGCGGAGAGTTTTTATCATAAATGGGTGCTGGATTTTATCAAATGCCTTTTCGGCATCTACTAATATGATCATGTGGTTTTCGTCCTTCATTTTGTTTATGTGCTGCATCACTTTTTTGGATTTGCAGATATCGTACCAACTTGAAATCCCGGAATAAATCCCAGTTGATTTTTTTTAATGTATTGCTGGATCTGGTTTGCTAATATTTTTTGAGGATTTCAGCATCTATGTTTATCAGGGAGACTGGCCTATAATTGGGGGAAGATGCTTGAGGGGAGGTGCTTAAGGGTGGTATTTTTATCTTATTTATTTTGCTTTCCATTATTTACAAATAATGGGGGTGAGGGGAATGAAGGAATTGAGCAAAAAAAGAAAACTTTAAAAAATAGATATATAAGTTTTCTTTAAAAATCAATTGGTGGCCTTTTGGTTGAGTGTGTCCATGCACCAAGAGGTCACCAATTCAATTCTGGTCAGGGCATATGCCTGGGTTGCAGGCTTAATCCCCAGTAGGGATCCTGCTTGAGGCAGCTGATTGATGTTTCTCTCTCATCAATGTTTCTTTGTCTCTCCCTCTCCCTTCCTCTCTCTCTCTAAAGTCAATAAAAACATATTTTTAAAAATGAATTGATAGGTGGATAAAGGAAATATAGCAAAAAATTAATTGCAGAATTTAGGTGACAGACACATGTTTACTGTAAAATGCTTCTGATGTTTTCTATGTTTAAAGAGTTTCTTAATCTTTGTAACAGAATTGAATTCACACATAACTTAAAAATATGAAAATTCTGCTAACAAATGTACAAGTCTAATGATATATATACTTTAAACTGTTTGGGCTGACTTGGGTGGTATTTTTATCTTATTTATTTTGCTTTCCATTATTTACAAAGCAATTAAAAATAACAAATTCAAATTATAGTTACTAGTTTTAATCAAACAAATCAAAATTATATGCAAAGACTTAGCATAACTATTAATGATTAACTAGGTTGCATCTTTTAAGATTTTAATCTTTTGTATTAAGTATTGCAACCATTTTTCATCTAATTATTTTTTAAGTACTTGTAATCAAATTTACTATCAAATATTTAATAGATTTTTGAGAATTTGCGGATCTTAATATTTGAAAAATAAATATGATATTTAGACGTGGTACATTTGATACTATACATGGTACTATACCACAATCCTATAAGTAAATTTATTTCAATTATGCCTCATCATAAAATTTTACCTCAACAGTATTGAATTCTTTGTCTTATGACACAAAACAAGCACACAAATCAGTATAATGTATTACCTTGTATTTAGAAGAACATGTATTAAAACATTTAACCATGATCATCAACAATATATATTACATTTTATCACACTCTAAATGATTTAAACATGTCTATTTAAAATTTGACATTACTCTAAAAGAAGGCACATGGAAACATTTTAAACATTTTTATGTAAGTAAAAATGTAAAGGATAAAGTGAATCTTTCAAAAATGAAGTAATTCCAAGTTGATGTCTCATTATTATACATAAAAATACTTGATTTGGATATTTTAAGAAATCTGCTAATATCTTTAGAAATGAAAGAGCTTCATTACCTTTCAGGATGTCATTATAAATACCTCATTTAGAAAAATCATAAGTTGTAAAAATAACAATGTACCCCCATTGGAAAATAAAGGGGAAAAAAAGAATTATAAAAAAATAAGATATAATAAAAAACCTACAATGTACCATTTAAGTTCATGTGGGTAAGAAAAGATATAGGACGACAACAACAATCTTGACCAATACTGGAGAAAATCTGACAGTAGCAGGCTATGTTTACAACTTATGGGCAGCAAAAGAACTTTCAAGGGCAATTTTGTATACACATATTTACCTTCAACACTAATTTTAGAACCTAATTACACAAAAAAGATGCATGTTGTACTTTTTTTTTAACACAAAACTCTTTCCTAGAAACAACTCACAGAATTATTCTCACAGGACGTATTTTGGAAAACTCTGATTTAGCTGCACAGAGTAAATATTCAAATTAAACATCCATCATCAGTTCTGAGTAGTACATGCTGAGACTGTAATATGAATTACTTTATATACAGTAATTTGCTTTCAATAATCTCAAAAAGTTAGACTATTATAAGAATGCATTTACTAGAATTATATTGTAAAAACATTACCTCAAATTACAATTATAAAATTTATTAGACTCAAAGAAGTCATAGTACAGATTAAAGATGATGAAATTGTCAAAATGATATATCATATTATATATTCAAGGCATTTGTATAAAATATCTAAATCTAATAGCAGATATAAAATGTCAATGAAATTAAACAATCAACAAGCTAAAATAATATCCTAACTGTCCACTTTATTCTTATTTCTATTTCTATAGCCATAACCTAAATTTCAGACTTCCTTTACTCTCACTACAAGATGCTATTATAACACTAACTTAGAACTCTAATTTATATCCCCCTAATCAAAAGCCTTCAATGGCTTCCCATTTTACATTCATGTCTGATTCCTTAAAAAGTTTACTTTTTATTTATTGATTAATTTTTAGAGAGAGAGAGGAAGGGGGAAAGAGAAAAAAACATCGATTTGTTATTATACTTATTTATGCATTCATTGGTTGATTCTTGTATATACCCTGACCGGGGATCGAACCTGCAACCTAAGCTTATTAGGAGGACCCTCAAACCAACTGAGCTACCAGGCCAGGGCTAAAAATAATTTTTAATGTAATCTATAATCTGGCACCAACCAACTTCCAAATTGATATCCCTTAACTCACTTTTACTTCTCTTTTCAACAAAATTTTTTGAGAATCTAATATGATTTAGGCACCAAGCTAGGTTCCAAAATATTCTGTCTAGTGGTTCTCAAACTGAGGGTTTGTGAAAATATTGCTGGACTCCACCTCCAAAGTTTCTAATTCAAAAGGCATGAATTTACATTTCTCACAAGTTCTCAAGTGATGCTGATACTACTGGTCAGGATCTATTCTTGGTGAACCATTGCTCTACTCCTAAGGCCACAAAGGAAGCCCACAGGCTGAATGACATCCACTCACATGTTTTGTCAGTGTAGTGTTTTAAACATTTTAAATTATTTGCAACATTTTAAAATTGGAAAATTTTTCACATAAAATGCGGATCTCTGGCTTATTGTGCATGTAAAAAGTCTCCCGGAACTAAACAGTAGCTACAGTCAAGGAAGATGTCTTAAGATTACCACTATCCTAATGGGCCGTCTACACTCATGTACAATCATCTGGTTTAGTACTGTATTTGTGCTTGTACACGATGATCCACTTCTCCCCATTCTCTAGGCCTTTTTTCATGCTGCTCACTTTGACTTAAATGTCCTTTCCCCACTATACTGCTAAAATTCTGCCTACCCCATTCTAAAGCTTGGCTTAAAAATCCTTCCTCAACAAAGCTCTAGCAAAAATAGAAATCGGTAAATAAAATACATACTAGAGATTTAACTTAAATTTAATATGTGTGCTTTAAGAATGAAAGTTTTATTTCCACAAATACTAAAATAGCAATATTTAAAAAAACATTACAGATTATATCATAAACTATAAACATACTTTTTGCTACTTCTAATCTATGTAAAATTTTAATTTTGTTCATTAAAATTTTTACTGTGAAATCTTTTCCAGAATAAGACATTAAAAGTGAATTAAAACATTAAATCTTACAGCCAAGATATATAATAGCTCCAAGAGATTACCTTATTTTTCTGGCAAAAAAAAAAAAAAAAGGTGGGTGGGGTATGGGGATAATTGATACAATTCCCCTGATTTCATAACCTCCCAATCTTTAAAAACTATTTTAATAAAATAAGCACCTCCAATTTTTTTTAATATGGAGGTTAGCTTTAATGAATCTTTATTTCTATGGAATAGTGGGGGGGGGGGAGGAATTACAAACAAAAACTCAGTGCTGGTCCTTGCTCTGCCATAAATAGCTTTGTTATATCAAGTAAGTCACTGAGTTCTTTCTGGACCTCAGTTTTATTAGCTTCTAAATTGAAAAGGGTGCAAAAAGTGATCTCCAAATACTTTCCATCACTAAAGTCATAGGACTTACTCCTTCAAAAAATGAAAGCATTAAAATCAATGTCATAAAGACAAGTTTCCTGTTATTGGGCTAGTATTGCTTCTAAATTAGATTGAATTAAAAACCTTGAACTACAGCTTTTCAAAGCTCTAATTTAAAATGTTGACGCTAGAGCTTTGAAAGACTACTTATGTGTTTGTGTATATAATTATGTATGTTATATTTTAATGATCAAAATATAACATCTTTTGTAAGTCAACAATTAAACTTATTAGAAAAAAAAAGAGGAGACAAAAAAATAAAACCATGCCATACAATCAAAAAATTATTATATCAATCAAAAGAAAATTAAATTATTTTAAAAATGTCAAAAAAAGTTTTTTTCATAATAGAGATTAACGATACATTATAATACATATTCTGCTTTAAGACATTCCCAGAATAAAGTAACTTGGCCAAAATTAAAATGATCATATTGTGAAACTGAAAAAAATTTAGAAACTATTATATTCAGGCAGATCATGCCGTAAGCGAATTGCTTTTAGCTTCTCCACTTCAATTTTTGCTTGTAGCAGCTCTTCTTCTAGCTGCTGCCTTCTTTTCAATCCATCCCTCTTCTCCTGAACATATAATCCAAAATTTTTTTGATTTTCTAAAATTATCTGATGCTCCTCTTTCAGCATTTGCAGAATCTGAGGATCATACCCTAACTGTGACCTAAAGTGTCCCCCACACTCATGATGAAAAAAGTCATCTCTCCTTGGGATGGAAGATGGAGACGATGTCATTCTCATGTCAACAGAGGAAAGTGACGGCGACACAGATCTGTCCATAACATGTACTAAGTCATGTTCTTCTCTTTGCTCTAAAGTATAACTCTGTTCCGAATTTAAAACCAGTGGAGGAGGGGGCTTAATGTCTTCTTCTTGCTTCACCTCCACTGTAATAGCCACTGGATGCTGATCCAACATTACCTGTAGTGAACTGGTACCAGCCTGAGCCTCCTCAGCCAAGTTTGCACTATAGCACACAAAAAAGCATTATAAAATGTAAATCAAATGAAGACAAGAGTATATTTACAGCATAATTTCATGTTTAATGTACATTACATTATTAAGCTTTAAAGCTATACAGAAAATTATGAAACAAAAAAATTTAACCCTTAGAATAACAAATTGAAAGTGAGTGACTAAATTTAGGATTTTAATAACATACATATATGTTATTTCCCATCCTTAACTTTAAAATATGGCTCTTAAAAGAACATGAAATTATAAATACGACACAAATGACAATGAGGTAAATAAAAAAGAAAAGCCATTTTTAATGGTTTCAAAGAGACACCAATTGCTCCTACAAGCCTGACGTTCTTTAATTGTATTCTGGGCCTTGCTGTCCCTATACCTTTGCCCTTGATCTGCTTCTGCTCTCCTGGACTGATCTAAAAATCACCAAGTTCCAAGACTTCTAGGAGGATACTGGAAGGGCATCTATGAGAAGCAATGTTTTCTGCATTTGTCAAAAAAAAAAAAAATCAAGACTGTGTATGGCTTCAGATGCCATCAGGGTTATCCTAACTATCTAATTTCAGGTGCAATGGTGTTTAATCTTCCCTATCCTAAACCACATGACTCAGTTGTTCTCTCAGTCTCTCAACCATTGGTAAAGTTAACCGGCCAAGGGTTTATATTGACCACTACATCCCCAGCACCTAGCATAAGACTATACTTGAAACCTGGTAGGTGCTCATCATATGTGGCATGATTAAATATAGATAAAACGGTTATGTTAGTGTAATGTTTTTAAATAGGCTATATACAATACATTGAAAGTTTATTAAATTTACATGTTATTTCCATAAAACTGTACAGGCATCTACAGTTTTAGCATAGTTTATTAATACTGTATTATGTAAATATAATGTACCTTAAAGTTCTGTTTTTTAAAAAATTATTTCAGTTATACCATGAAGCTATTAAGAATATATAATCCTGTTTCTTGAGGGGTATTTTTAAATTTTTGCTTCTGCCTTACTTAAAAATAAAAATTAGAAAGGGAGATTATTAGAATATTAATGGAAGTGCTATATTAATGTTACTTACAGATCATTTCACAAATGATAAGTAGCATAGTTTAAGTAGAACTTCGAAAAAATTTAAAATCCCCGTATGTCACTTACTAATGGCATTAAATTGTCAATAATATCAGATGTTTGTCTAAGTGATACAAATGAAATATATAGTATGTTAGAAAAAACCTATTTGTAGATTATATAAATTCATCCATTTTGTCAACTTTTGTCATCTTATAATTTTATTTTATTTTAAAAAATATTTTTATTGATTTCAGAGAGAAGGAGAGAGAGAGAAACATCAATGATGAGAGAGAATCATCGATTGGCTGCCTTCTGCACGCACTCACTGGGGACCAAGCCCACAACCCCAGCATGTGCCCTGACCAGGAATTGAACCGTTACCTCCTGGTTTGTAGGTTAATGCTCAACCACTGAGCCAAACTGGTTGGGCTATCATCTTATGACTTTTGAAAGCAAAACGATAGAATATAAATATAAATCAAATTGGTAAGATTTACTTTTATTAACATCTCTAAAACCTATAATGGAAAAATATTAAAACTGCAGGTTAAATTTAAAAAATTTACACAATAACTATTCCAAATTAATATGTACAATAATAGAGTATAATACAATTAGACATATACATTATACTCTCATGTAAATTAAAAATATGCCTTATATCTGGAATATTCTATTCCATTTTAGTGGAAACATTTAAGTAAGGTCATCATATAAAAAATGTTTTAGAGAAATTCACAAAAATGATAAACAGAAGGGTTTCTAAAATTTAGAAATATGGATTGTAAGAATCAATTGAGTTACAAAAACACAAAATATAATTTGATATTTGAGGGAAGTAAAAATAAAGACATAACCAATGTGTTACAGAGATAGCCTAACCAAATATGTGTATATTTTTAAAATATATTAAATAATATAAACAGTAAGATTTTCCTTACTAAGAATGGAGAGGCTGGTGAGATTAGCAGGCATGTTTATACAGAAGCATAATTAAAATTATAGAATAATTATAAACTTGTGAGATAATTATCAAGATGATGTCAAATAAGTATAAACACAATATATCAATATATTACATGAAAACACTAATATGAAAAATGACAGTGTAGACACTAACATAAGCAAGCATTAAAATGGCTTATTTCTAATATTCTTCACTTTAAAATATGAAAAATTGTTATTGTTTAAATAGTAAGTATAAAAATACATGAATCAATTAATTCCTTTTATCAGAGAAATGTCCCAAAAGATTGTATGTTACATACATACACATACAAATGGTCAAAATATACTTTTATCTTATTTCTCTTCTATACTCAGTTTTTAAAATATGCAACTGAAACTATAGTTCCCATGTGTAGTTTTCAAATTACAAAAGTATTTGTATACTCAATACCCAAAAGATGGTTTTATACCTGTAATGCAGAAGCAACTTTTCTTATGGTTTGAGGAGAAAAAGTAATAACTAACAGTATAAAACAGTCTTACTGTGGAGGTTTCTGACATCCAGCATGTTAGGATTTAATCATTTGTCATCTCAGTGAACATTTTAAGCAGTGGCCTCATAATTTAATACATTGTGTGTCCAAGTCCTGGATTCCCACTAGTGGTATTTTTTTACTATGCTATCAACTAGAAATAAGCAGTAGATGGTAAGAAGCTTGGCTCAAAAAATGATCCCAGTAAATTATCAAAATAACAAATATGTTTGGTTAAAAAGTTCTTTTCCCTGTTTCTCTCCTAACTTCAAAAAGATTTCACAGGTAATCAATAAATGTGCTTATATAATGACTCTCCCACTACTAGAAAAGCACACTGTAAAGCTTTATTTGAAAGGTCTCTCAACTAACAAGAAGTTTACAACTTGTTTAAATTACCCTAAATCGCTCAGAAAAATGCAGCTACCATTTTTATCTTTTCCCAGGGGTTAAAATTTGAATCAGTAGTAAGGTAATAGTTTTTAAGATTCCAAGGTAAGTAGTTATGTAGAGCATAAATTTAAAAACAACAAAATGTTTCTAACACTTTATGAAAGCAGTTGCTCTTACTGGTATATTAAAATGCATAGTTTGATATCCTTGCAAAGCAATTTGTGAAAACCTGTCCTTTCCTATGTGACCCACGATCAATGTGAAACTATACCATTAATAAATACACAAAACCTTAGATTTTATTAAGTAACCTGTTTCCCTAATTAGGCATTAATTCTTTTCCTTGTGTTTATTTTAAATATGTTAGAAAAATAACTTAAACTGTCTTAACATATGCAATAATACCATTAATAAGTTTACTTAATTATCGATTTTAGTTTTTTAGCTCAAAGAATATTCAGTAAGTGGAGACAGTGACAATTTCACATACAAGCAAGGGTTCCATTTCTCCTGCAACTAACTTTCTATGAAACTGAAAATTCCAATGAAATGTAACCTTAAATGAAATCTTAAAAGGTCTCTCTTTCAGCTAATTACATAATTTAATTTTAAAGCTTAAAAAGTTTATGAACAGATGTCACAAATTTCATCCCAATTATTCCTCCCTAACCTTTACTTTTTAGAAACTACAGGAGGGAAGGGGGAAGGGAAGACAATAAAAGTGACTTAAATGAAATGCAGCAGGAAAATTCCTTATAGCCTCACTTTTCTTTTTTTAGAACGCAAAACAAAGACACTATTCATTGCTCCCGTGTGGGGATGCTTACTATGCATATCTCTGTCACAACTAAGCCAGAGCCCAATAGATAGGAGGCGCCATAATTTTCCACAACAAAATAAAATAAAGCTTACCTTTGTATGTGGTTCCTGTCTCTTACCAGGCAAAAACTGGAAATCTGGGGAATCATCTCCATAACTTTCTTGGTTGGCTCAGAAATACTGCTTTTTAAATCTGATTGGGTATCTTTCTGCTGCAATAGCTCCTGTTTGGCATATTCTTTGAGCCTTTTGTAAAGGGTGCGTAGGCCCTGCGCTGTTCGAGGAGGGCGGTCTACTCCAATTGCATTATAGTTAACTGCTATGATATCCCAACATCTATTCTTTTCCACTATTACTGAATGCTTATTAGTGTGTTCTTCGAGGATTTTCACATATGGCTTGACAAGTTTTAGCAAATCAAGCTTTTCAGATAAGGTAAAATTGGAAGATCTAGCCTTTCCTACCATTGTTCTTTTCTCAAATTAAGGAAGCAGTTTTTAAAAACACCATGCAGCCTTCAGCTCTGCTCAGCTCTTTTCACAAACGGAAAAAGATCAGGCTTAACTAGGCTAGCCTCATTTAGGCCCACGCCTACAGGGGAGGGTTTATTAAAATTCCTCCAGCTTAAGCTGACGCAGGTTCAGGAAATCTGCTTAAGCCAAGCCTGACCTACATAAAGCTTCTCACTGAAACAGACAGGAAGGCACAGGCAAAACACACTTGTGTATAAAGAGAGCAGCTCGAGATAGGATTTAATAAACAACGGTCTAGAGATAAGCATGGAACACAGCTAAAAACTAGCTACTTTGGTGAGAATATCAGATTTCCACATATGTATGCTTAGCTGATATTGAAACTGCACTGCAGTATCACTTTAATAAAAACAAAAGGGGAACTGTTTTGTCCTGTTTGTTTACAAATCCAGTAGACAGAAAAACAAAAACTAACGTGAGTGGTGAATGTAGTGATTCCTAACTGAGCTAGGCCCACGGTTTCTGAGCTGCTATTCTCTCTTACAAAATCTGCATAATGCTGGTCCTGCTGTCAATCAAGAATTGCATATCGTCTAGCTAGTTAGGTTACACCCAGACTCAGACTCCACAGTAAAGCTAAGCTTCTCCTTCATTTTACAATCTCCAGTACCCACTGTGGTGTGTGTGTTTTTCAGTTCCTTAAGAATAAATTTTTGTCAAACAATGAATCTAAAAAACAGATAAAAAAAGGTTTTTAAAGCAATGTATTATTTTAGCTGTAACATATATGAATATGCTAGCCTGCTCTATCATGTGTGAAAATCACCATCCACGGTGAAAACAGCATAATCTCGCCTTAGAACTGCACACAACAAAATCACTATTTTGCTATTATTAAGGGGTGGGATTTTCATTTAGTTATACTCACACAATCTCAACTACTAAAGCAAACAGCCATTTGCAAGGCTACCAGTTTACATGCTTAGAATGTATTTTCTAATCCCTGTCTGAAAATATGGTAAATAACAATGTAAGCAAAATAAGCTTATTTTCTCCTGATATATATATTTATCCAGATAAAAGAATGAATTAGAACATATTTGAACACAATTCCATTCAACCAAACAATTACTGAACAGCCATTAAAAATCCTCCCTAGCACTGTGCCAGGCCCAAGGAAAACAAAGGTGAATCTACCTGATACAGCCCCTATTCAGGAAGCTATAGTTCTGCAGAAACACCGTAAAATTTCAATTCCTTGTTTTTCAATCTTTAATAGAGAGAAGCAAATTAAATGTATTGAGTTCTCATATGAGCCACACAATGTGCAAGAAGTTTTAAATGTGGATCCATCAGGGAAAAAAGGAAAGACTGCTGGGTGTTCTAATAAGATAGAAAAAAGAGGACTAGGTATGCAGACAGGGACCACATGGAGATAGGGGGAAAGGAAGTCAGACATGGAGGCAAAACCTGGTTGGGCTGGGGAAACTTGACCCTTGACCTGGCCAGGTGGGAACAGTGATGTCACCTGGGACCTGAAGTGGCAGTCCTTAATCAGGTCCTCCCACAGGTGGAAACTTGAACTTTGATATAATTGGATATTGCCAGAATTCCTTAAAGCAGTGGTTCTCAACCTTCCTAATGCCGCGACCCTTTGATACAGTTCCTCATGTTGTGGTGACCCCCAACCATAAAATTATTTTTGCTGCTACTTAACTGTGATTTTGCTACTGTTATGAATCATAATGTAAATATCTGATATGCAGGATGTATTTTCATTGTTACAAATTGAACATAATTAAAGCATAGTGATTAATCACAAAAACAATATGTAATTATATATATGTTTTCTGATGGTCTTAGGCAACCCCTGTGAAAGGGTAGTTTGACCCCCAACAGGGTCGCAACCCACAGGTTGAGAACCACTGCCTTAAAGGGATCAATCAGAAGCTAACAGAGTATATAAACATCCCCTAAACCAGTGATGGCGTACCTATGATTTGTTTTACTATCGTTGCAAAGATCAAAAATTTTCTATATGTGACACGGCACCAGAGTTAAGTTAGGGTTTTTCAAAATGCAGACACGCCGAGCTCAAAAGGTTCGCCATCACTGCCCTAAACAAATAGCTTAAATGAGTAACCCATTTGGGGCCCCCTTCCTGCTGTCTTGCAGCAGGAAGTCCACATATCTCCTCCCGCAAGCTTTGTTCCCCCCTCCCCTTCCAATAAATTCTGTTTTCTTCCCACCATTTTTGTCCCTGAATCCATTCTTCAGTTTTACGAGACAAAGAACTCAGACCCAACCACATTTTGGACATATTTTGGGTTTCACTATGGAATGCAAGGTGAGAGAGATGGAATGTCTGGGATACCCTACTGAGTAGTCTGATTTGTTAGCAGTTCTAGCTTTTCACTGTCTTTGGTCAGTTTTATTGCTCAATAAATTGTTGTAAATAGTAATGATTATTGTCCATAGAGATGGGAATTGAAAATTGACTCATCCCAGCAACCTGACCACAGATATGCAAAGAAAAACAAGAACACAAGATATATACTATCTTTAAATAATATTTTGTTATTTTGGGGGGGGGGGAATGCAGATATATTAAGAAACAAAATACCAATAAAAATATGAAAAACCATTCAATCTCACCAAATTATCAAGGAAATGTATAGTAAAAATGACTTTCTTCCATAAGGTTGGCAAAATTCTTAAAGACTGAAAATGTCAAGAGCGGAAAAGGGGGCACGGCACAGAGCACTCTTCGGCACTGCTGATGGATGTGGAGAGTGGCATTCTGGACATCGATCTGGGAAAATCCATTAATATTTTACATTTGTAAAACCTTCCAAAACTGTTAACCTAAAAATAAATTAGCAAAATGAGAGACAACAAGTATTTACTTGAGGATCAAAACAATAGCTATTCCGGAAGCAGTGATTCAGACCGAAACCCAAAGTCTTCCAATTAGGAGGTGAAGGCAAGGGGTATTTATGAGACAGAAAAGGGGAATAATTACATGAATAGAATCAAGGGTGCTAATAAGCTAAGGAAGGAATTTCTGTAGATACAGATAAGCTAATAGAATGATGCTGATTCTTAAAAATGTCTTTAATTTTCAGTACAGTAGTCATAATAACTGCTCTCTTGTTATCTTTGCAAATAGTTCTGTGGAACACAATGTTGCTTTAGGCTCAGATTAAATATTATTTTGCCCAGTTTTAACATTCCAAGATTTGAGGACTAAGACATACAGGCAAGGCAGTTCCTCTGGGATGACAGCTACAACTCCATTTTGAAATGGCTCCATTTATATTATTTTTTACAATACTATGGTCTACATTAAGCAGCATTAAAATGAAAGACAGATTTCTTTTTTTAAATGTATTTTTATTGATTTCAGAGAGGAAAGGAGAGGGAGAGGGAGAGAGAGAGAGATGGAAACATCAATAATGAGAATCATTAATCAGCTGCCTCCTGCATGCCCCACACTGGGGATAGAGACCGAAACCCAGGCAAGTCCCCTGACTAGGAATCGAACCATGACTCTTGGTTCATAAGTTGATGCTCAACCACTGAGCATACAAGCCAAGCTTCAATTTTTATTTTATTTTTTTTACAGAAGAAAACGTTTTAATATATGTGCATGGGTAATTTCAGAGGTATGAAAATTCCAAAGACAGTGAGGCAACACTGGGTATATAAGACATTTTGGAGAAAGGGGGATGGACAGGAGTATTAGATTTCAGAAAAATGGAGGATTTACAGGTAGTTGGGGAGGAGGGGAACATACCTGGCAGGCAAATTCTTGCTAGGCAAATCAGAAAGAATGGGACTTATGGGGTATCTGCCTGAAGCCCTCTGTTTACCATACTTAATTCAAATTAGGCTAAGGCCACATCACTGAGGATCTGTATAATTCTGATTTGATTTAAACTGTAGTTTTAAAGCCATCATATTTTTCTTCTCTCTCTCAGCTAACTTCACTGCCCTGATGATCCTTGACTCCTGAGACAGCAGAAGACAATAGCCCAGTTCTGAGTAATGGTCACCCCAAGGTTTAATCCCCTGGCAGGCTAAAGATAATAGCTCCTGAGCCCTAAGGCAGGAAAACCCTCTTGGTTACTTGTTCTTGAAAGTAGTTCTGGACACCCAGCTGACCTGAGAGTTGTCCTCAAGACCTGAAGGAATGATTTATTACCCTTATCTCGCCTCTGACCAATCAGCTCCTACTATGACCCTGAACCCCCTAGCCGCTAGCCCTTGGTGCCTTGTGATTTTGCCCTACATAATCTGTAACCTATGTCCTCAAGGATTTGGGTCTTTCAGAGTATGAGCCCAGAGGCCTCCAGACTGGCCAGTTCAGATAAACCAATTCCTTTTGTTAGGGGCAGAAATAGAACACTATCACATCAAGTTTGTTTTTGTTTTATAATTACAGTTGACATTCAATATTATATTAGTTTCAGGTGTACAGCATAGTACTTAGACTTACAATTTACAAAGTGATTTCCCTGATAAGTCTAGTACCCACCTGTCACCATACATAGTTATTACAATATTGACTACCCCTTGTTACTATTTTATAACTGACCATTTTTAAAAATAATTTTTTATTGATTTCCAAGAGGAAGGGAGAGAGAGATAGAAACATCAATAAGAGAGAATCATTGATCGGCTACCTCCTACTGGGGATTGAGCCTGCAACCGGGCATGTGCCCTTGACCAGAATCGAACCTGGGACCCTTCAGTCCACAGGCTGACACTCTATCCACTGAGCCAAACCAGCTAGGGCTGTAACTGACAATTTGTACTGATCACAAATCACAACAAGTATAATAGTAATGAAAAATTCTGAAATACTGTGAGAATTACCAAAATGTGACACAGAGACACAAAGTGAATGAATACTATTGAAAAATGGAATCAACAGAACTGCTCGATACAGGGTTGCCACAAACCTTCAATTTGTAAAACACATTATTTGCAAAGCCCAATAAAACAAAGTGCAATAAAACGAGGTGTGCCTGTATGTGCTTTCATATAGCTTGAGCATCACAATAAATGACATATGCACTGTTCATAGATTGCTGGTGGGAATATAAAGTTGTAGTATCTTCAGAAGGCAATTCATCACTATCCATCAAAATGACAAATGCACACACCCTGAGACCAGCACCCTACTCCAATGTATTTACTCTACTGATATAGTCTTACCTATGTTTGTAATACATAGATATTTGATCAGACCGTCAAACCTCAGAGGGAAGGTAGGGGAGGGCGGGGGTACGGGGGGAAAATCAACCAAAGGACTTGTATGCATGCATATAGACCTAACCAATGGACACAGACACCAGGGGGGTGAGGAGGCAATGGGGGAATAAGGACACATATGTAATACCTTAATCAATAAAAAACAAAAATATATATACTATATATTCACTATAGCTTTGTTTGTAATAACAAAAAAGCTAAGCAATCTAATAAGGCTCTGGTTAAATATACTTGGCAAATCCATACATTGGGATATTATGTAGTTTTTAAATAGAAAGAGGTAGTTCTAAATGTACTGACAAAAAGATTTCAAAGATAGACTGTTACAGTAAAAATGCAAAGTATAGAACAGTGCAGCTAGTGAACAATAATCTGTACGGGGAAAATATATTACATACAAATGTTTCCAAATGTACAAAATATCTCATAGATACCCAAATACTGGTAACTGGTTGCCTCTGGAGAAAGAAACTAGATGGCGAAGGATCAGGGAAAGGGGACTTCTTACTATTACTGTATTCTTCACGACTTCTGAATTTTTTACCATGTGCATTCATTACCTATCTTTTTAAAAAAAAAAGTCACAAGGAACTATATATTATAGGATTCTATTCATATGAAATGTCCAAAACAGGCAAAACCATAGAGACCGAAAGCAGATTAGTGGTTACCAGAGCTGGGAAGAGAGTGGGAAATGATGAGTTGACTGATTAATTGGCCCTGGGACTGCTTTTAGTGTGATGAAAATGTTCTGAAACTAGATATTGGTAATGGCTGCAAAACACTGTAAATGTGCTAAATGCCACTGACTTGCACACTTTAAAATGGTTAAAATGGTGAATTTTTGCCCGGCCCATTGTGGCTCAGTGGCTAAGAGTCAACCCATGAACCAGGAGGTCATGGTTCGATTCCTGGACTGGGCACATGCCTGGATTACAGGCTCAACCCCCAGTAGGGGACATGCAGGAGGCAGCCCCTTGAAGATTCTCATTGTTGATGTTTCTATTGCTCTCTCCCTTTCCCTCTCTCTGAAATAAAAACATATATCTATATATGTGCGTACACACATACACACACACACACATCTATAATAGACCAGACGACCCAGCGCTATGGCACCCCAAGTGTGAAGGCAGGTGGCGACT